TTAAATTGGTTGTTGTGTTTTGATTCATTTGTTCATTTTATCATTTTGTGTGGGACATTATGAGTTATAAATGAGATTGCATCCAAACGACTAAGACTTATGTGTTTTAATTTCACAGTTGAGGACATGTGTCAACGGTATCCAAATGCCACTGAAGTGAATCTCAGCGGCACTCCTAATATTCACCTGCTTGTTATGAAAGCTGTCATATCATTAAGGTACCCTTTTTATCATCATATTTTTTATTGTTTTAATCAAATGAAATCTTTGTGCCTGCGGTTAATTTATATAAATTTTCTGATTGATAGAAATCTCGAGGCTTTAACATTGGCAAAAGGCCAACTAGGGGATGCTTTTTTCCATGCGTTGTCAGAATGTAGTATGTTGAGTAGTTTGGATGTGAATGATGCTATTCTTGGCAATGGTATTCAAGAGATACCTATTAACCATGAACGATTGCGTGATCTGAAAGTAACAAAATGCCGTGTGATGCGTATATCCATCAGGTGAAATAAAGACATACCTTCACTGTTAACTATATGCTGATGTCAATATAGTCATTCTTTGTACTGAAATCTGATCTTTTGCAGGTGCCCACAACTGAAAAACTTGTCTTTGAAACGTAGTAATATGGCACAGGCAGCTCTTAATTGTCCTCTTTTGCATCTGCTGGATATAAGCTCATGCCACAAGCTTACAGATGCTGCAATTCGTTCAGCAGTAACCTCATGCCCCCAATTAGAGTCTTTAGACATGTCAAATTGTTCTTGTGTTAGTGATGAAACGCTACGTGAGATAGCTCTCACTTGTGCAAATCTTCATGTGCTGAATGCTTCATATTGTCCGAACATATCACTTGAGGTTAGTTCTTGGTTGATGTAGTTCTATTAACTGCCGCTTTTTTGATTAAGGTGTAATCTGATGCATTTGTTTTCTTTGAAGTCTGTAAGACTGCCAATGTTAACAGTTCTAAAGCTCGACAACTGCGAGGGTATAACTTCAGCCTCAATGGCTGCAATAGCTCATAGTTATATGTTGGAGGTTTGAATCTCTTTTTCTCATTTATATTGTTGTTACCTAGATTTCTTTGCAGTCTCTATTAAAAACTTCTAGCTGCTTGACTGATTTTGTTACCTGTTGCAGGAGTTGGAGCTTGATAATTGCCACATGTTGACATTGGTGTCATTGGATCTTCCTCGCCTGCAGAAAATTCGACTGGTTCATTGTCGAAAGTATACTGCTGTTTGATTTAGTTCACCTTTCCCTTTTCTTATGAAACCGAAAAATATTGCTTTATTGCTTTTGGGCTGGAGTTCCTTCTTTTGTTTTTGGTGTCTTCCCTGTCTTTGTTTGTTTTTATTTTTTTCATTTTGTAGTAATTTATAATTTCTGGGCTGCAGATTTGCTGATCTGAATGTACAGTGTTTCATGCTATCATCTATAACGGTATCCAATTGTGCCGCACTGCATCGCATCAACATCAGTTCAAATTCCCTTCAAGTATGTGTTTTGATTCACAATTTGATCTCTATTTGTCATTGCCTTGGTCATTGATAAGTTTCAAATTTGGATTGTTGATTTCATGAACATGCAGAAATTAGCGTTGCAGAAGCAGGAAAATTTGACAATGTTGGCACTGCAATGTCAATGTTTGCAAGAAGTAGACCTTACAGATTGTGCATCGTTGACAAATTCTGTTTGCAATATCTTTAGTGATGGTGGTGGTTGCCCTATGCTAAAAGCTTTGGTTATGGATAACTGTGAGGTTTGTGAATAGTTTCTTTCTAGCTACTGAATTATTTGTCATCCGTGTGTATGGATAGAGGCGTTGCTAGTTGACATTCAAAGATTGGGTGGTAAAAGAGGCTTAAAATGATAAGAGATTTAGAATGGTAGCTTCTTCTGAGCTTTTTGGTCACTTCAAATGGCACCATGTATTTGTCTGTCTGAACTCTGGTTTGATGTACCATCTTGGTTCCTGATGCTGCATTATTGAGGCATTGTTGTGTGTCATTGTAATGACCCTTTTTTTTCCTTGGTTGTATTGTGCTTTTCTGACAGAAGTTCTTGATTTTATTTTGATCAGAGCTTGACAGCAGTACAGTTCTCCAGTACATCTTTGGTCAGTCTTTCTCTGGTTGGTTGTCGTGCTATCACTACTCTGGATCTTGCATGTCCTTGTCTTGAGAAAATTTGTTTAGATGGTTGTGATCATCTGGAAAGAGCATCATTTTGTCCTGTAAGTTTAGAGGGACTCCAGACTTCCTGTGAGGTTAATTTGCTAATGTATTTTAGCTATTTGATGCATGCAATTTCTTGCTCTTATAAAATATAACACCTGAAGCGTTTCCCTCCTTCTAGGCTGCTCTTCGGTCACTTAATCTTGGAATATGCCCAAAATTGAACACACTGAGAATTGATGCTCCATACATGGTGTCACTTGAGTTGAAAGGATGTGGTGTCTTATCTGAAGCATCCATTAACTGTCCTCTATTGACATCTCTGGATGCTTCCTTTTGCAGGTTTGTTGCAATGCTATATTCTTTTTGTGATTCTTTACTGTGGTCAATAGCTGACAGTTCTATTCAATTTTACATGCAGCCAACTTAAGGATGATTGCTTATCTGCAACAACGTCTTCCTGCCCTCTGATCGAGTCGTTAATATTGATGTCATGCCCATCTATTGGTTCTGACGGTCTTTTCTCTTTGCGCTGGCTTCCGAATTTAACGACACTTGATTTATCATATACCTTTTTGACGAATTTGCAGCCAGTTTTTGTGTCTTGTTTACAGCTGAAGGTAACTTTAAAATCCTGGATACGTAAGACTGGATATACATATGTGGCATGCTAGTGTTACATATTCAGTTGGTTGTATTGTACATACATGATCCATTCATGAGTTTTGCATTGTTTGTACTCTTAGAGATTCTCTATTTTGATTTAAATGGTAAGACCATTGTGTTGCTTCTTATTCTACAATTAAGCAAGGTTTAGAAATTTTGCGTGTTTGGTAAATTGTCTTGTTTAAGCTTTCAATGTTTCTAATACTCCATGTTTTCCTTATTTCCTGTTCTATTCTTTTGCTCACTTTTCCTTTCCTTCTTTAAGGTGTTAAAATTACAAGCATGCAAATATCTGGCTGACTCATCATTGGAGCCTCTTTACAAGGAATTTGCTTTGCAAGAACTCCAAGAATTGGACTTGTCATATGGTACCCTGTGTCAGTCTGCCATAGAGGAGCTTCTTGCTTATTGCACACATCTTACTCATGTGAGCTTGAACGGATGTATAAATATGCATGACCTGAATTGGGGTTCTACTGGTGGTCGACTTTTGGAGTCGCTCAGCACGGATAATGCATCTAGCATGTTTTCTCTTGAGAACATCAATGAGCCAGTTGAGCAAGCCAACCGTTTACTGCAGAACCTCAACTGTGTAGGTTGTCCAAATATTAGGAAAGTGCTTATCCCACCACCAGCACGCTGTTTCCATTTGTCATCTCTAAATCTTTCATTGTCAGCCAATTTAAAGGAAGTTGATCTTGCTTGTTTCAATTTGTCCTTTCTTAATCTAAGGTAGGCATGCCCAACTTTTTATTGTTGTCACTTGCTTCTCTTTTATGTTTTATTCTTCTAAATTTTTCTGGCTATATCTTATTCAGCAATTGTTGCTCTTTGGAAGTTTTGAAGCTCGAGTGTCCTAGACTGACGAGTCTCTTTCTTCAGGTATGCATTCTCAGTCTTCGAAACCACAGACATTTAATCTTTTAGGTCCCTTTTTTTGGCCTCTTTTTTTAAGGGATTTTCAATTGGGAGTGAATCCTTGAAATTGATTGGTTCTTACTGCCTAGGCTTCTGTGATGGATTTGTTCTGTTAAAGACTCACATGCATAGAGAGTTTGGATCTATTGAATCACATAGTCAATGGTGAAGAAGCTATATTCCCTGTATTTAGTTATGTTTTTAAGGAAGCAGTTAGTGAGTCATATGAAGCCTCCATTCTCTGATGGTTTAGTAATAGTTGAAGATAGGTACTAAACTGACTTATCTCGCAATCATCATTATCTGATGCAGTGTAGTCTATTTGGGAAATGCCTTTCTTTCTTTGATGGTAAAGTTATCTTTTTATTCTGACTGTAGTGTCACTTCTTCTGCAGAGTATTTGGTTTCTGGCCCCACATCGTTTTTTGATTTCCTGTTTCCTGCATGCCAAATTATTTTTGATTTCATTTTGTCACACATAAGCATATACACGTGAATCTCCGTCCTTGTAGTTAGTGTGTGGCCGAGAGTTTCTTATCTGATGCTGTTTTCTGTTTTCTTTTGCCTATTGGTCCTTTTTAAGTCTTGCAACATCGAGGAAGAAGCAGTTGAAACCGCTATATCACAGTGTAGCATGCTGGAGACTCTGGATGTCCGCTTCTGTCCAAAGGTGAGCATCATTTTGTTTTGCCCCTTTTTTTGCTCGCACTTTATGAAGTGTGTAGCGTTTACTATATTAAACTGGTAGGTCTAAAGTTTTCTTCTTTGCAATTGCTTATTATGTTCAAATCTTGTTTATTGTCTTTTCTACTTGAAACTCTAGCTTTTTTTTTTTAAAGAAAAATGAAATTAATCCAATCCATTAATGCTAATATTATGTGGTGGCTGATAGATCTGCTCAATGAGCATGGGGAGGCTAAGAGCAGTTTGTCAAAGTTTGAAGCGTATTTTTAGTAGCTTGTCTCCTGCATGATGCTTATGCGATCAAGGATTTTATTTCCGTTTGGAAGTGGATATTACTTCAAATTAGTGGCAGCAACAACGGCTTGGTATTTGTCATGATCAGCTCTCTTTTGTATGTAAATGGTCATCATATTTTCCCTGCGTCTGTTGTCGATACATAATATAATATAATATAATATAATATATATATATATAGGTAATGTAACAGTGTAATAAATTACTACCACTGTTCTTGTATTCACTATATCGGTTGTTGATCTTGTTGGAGATATAGATGAAATCTGAAAATTTTACTTCCAAAATTTAGTACCAGTAGTTATGGGTGATAAAAACAAACATTAAGAAGCCAGTAAAATGTATAGCAGTCATGACCTTTAACAATCTTTCTTTCGGTTCTGATCCAATTTTGCCTGGGAACTATGAATTCAATGATTGTCATCTATTGGTTTTTTTTAGTCATAACAAAGAGTATGGGGATAAGAAAGAAGCAGATGGGAGAGGATGTGGGTCCACGTCAGACGTTTATATTGTTGTGGTCGGAAATTTTATCAAGGATACAAGGAGAGAATATGGGCTCACTCGCAAGTTACAGAGCAGAGCATATATGGATTCATAAAAGTGATTCCAGTTGCTTAATATCTGGGTCCAATTCGTCAGGCTTGACGTCATCCTCAGGAGCTCTATAGGCATCTGCAACTTCCCTCCCTTGATTTAACACATCGGAAGGAACTGTTTGAAGGAGGCTGTAATAGAAACAGCTTTGTGAGGAAATGAAGCTTACTTGTCTTAACGCAGATGTCCCAAGCATGACCGTAATGAGGTACATATATATATCAACTGTAATGCAATACCTGTCCAGCGCATTGAGGGCAGTACCAATCTTTGCCTTCATTGATTTTACTGAGGCTTCTGGGTTGTTTCGTGATGCCCGTAGAAGCAAGGAATCCAGCTCCTCCAAGGCTCTAAGCAAAAGAACAAAAGTTGGTTTGTTTCAAAATTTAGTTTGCCGGAGGTATTGCTAAACTTGTACGTTGCAAGCGTAGCTTATTCTAACAGGGTTACTTATGATTCTCCGTGAAAACATTTCAACATTTTCTCAAATGTCAGCAAATGGTCAAAATTTGTAGTGACAAAGCAAAGCAACAGCTTAACATCGGCGCCCAGATGTACTCTCCTCCCATAATTGTACAAGCAGCATGGACCTTACCTATTCTCAATTGGCAGCGTAAACCATTGGAGACTAATCTCTAGACCCGCGACCCAACTGATTTGCTTCGTAGAAGCTCCTGTAATATATAGCACATTGGAGAAACCAGGATCGCAAGGCATGCAGACCCATGGATGTGCTTCAAACAAAATGGGCAGAAAATTGCCTTCGCCTACGGTTTTTGGCTCTTATAAATTGAACAGAATACTTTAAAACATTCATCTAGAGCTTAATTAGGGTCACCTGAGACATTGATCAACGTCATTGAAAGCATTTTCACCACTGCCAGCATCAGAAGCATACTGTGCGACCTGAAGTTCCGAAGAAAATTTCCAAACCTCAGCAACTCATGTATACAAAAACTGCCATAAAGCAAAGTGGAATGAGAATGTATATGGTAACAAGGCCTCTAATAAGATCCTAGTGTGACAACATGCATAACCTAACATCATTCTTTTTCCTCCGTCTCTTTCTCCGGGGCAATGCTAGACATCATTTGTTCAAAACTAGCGAAGAGCAGGTAGAGCCATTAGGCTAATGAACACAAACTTCCTGGTCAAGTTGATAGTTTCATAAAATGTAAATTCCTCTCTTTCTGGAAACTTAATAGGTCTTTGGTTCTTCAACTTAGAATTGACTCATGGATATGTCAATAACTAGTGGCAACTAAATAACATAACACAGATATGAGAAGATCACACCACTAACTAGAAAACCTCAACTTACAGCTCGAATATTTATACGTAGAGATGCAGCTGGACCAGAACGTAGTAGGGATCTGCAGATGGCATATTCCGGTTTATCAACTTCCAGAGTTTTCTCTGTAGTGGTTAGAATTCAGAACATGCTTCATAAGAATGAACCAAAACATACTTTTAAAAAGGAAAGGGACTAAAACAGGAAGTGAAGGATTCGTTTAGCAGGATGACAAGGGCATGGAACTCAAGCATAAAACACAGAAATGAAAAATCCAACTTCTGTCCATTATCTCATTAAACATGAAACAAAATCATTCCTTCAGCAAAAGAACTAGCCTGTAACAGGAATTGGGTTTAATGATGAGATTCACTTACACAATCAACATCTAATTAGAATTTAATCCACAGAAAATAACAATAATAATAAGATAAGATCGAAAAAGGTTACCTAGGTCCTTAATCTGGAACTCAGTCAATATAACAGCAGGCACATATACCTCAAGTGGATCAAGCTTCTTCCTGTTAAATATACATTATATCATTTATGATTACCACTGACACAAGAAGAAAAATTATGTACAACACAGACATTCACCCAGGAAATTACTGATTACCTTTTCACGTATTTATCCAAAAAGCTACCCGCAATGGCATCTGCAGTATTAAAAGTAATAGGCCATGACTTAGCTTTGAAGCAACTCAAAACTGACAGTATCATAATTGATTGAAAAACAATGAAAGGCAAAAAGAAAAAGCTTGAATATAGTAATAACACTTTCCCCTTTATTATTTGGCTGTGAAATGATAGTACGAATTGTATAACTAAGATCAAACCAAGCATACAGTTGGGTACAAGGAGCAAGTGAGAGAAAAGCATAGAGATTGAAACCAGTCGCCGGCTCTCCCGCCATTTCGGTGGAGACACTGCGCACCTCACTCCAGAGAATCGCTTGGGTTTAGCAGTGAAGTTGGGGGCGGAAGAGCGAGGAGAGGACGAGGAAAGGAAAGGGTAGGCGCTAGCGTGCGCGTGGGATTGAACTGTGGCCATTTCGACACAACAAACATCGGTGGATTTTGTCCCCAGAAGAAAACTGGAACGGTCTTATCCGTTTGTTTATGGCCTTCACCACGATAAAAGAGGCGTTGTCCGAAATCACAAAATTAACCTTTGCAAAAATTTTATTATATATTGGCTCCACATCTTCTTAAACCCTTGGTTTACGTCTTCTAATTGTATTAAAATATTAATTAAGATAGTAATTAGAGTTAAGTCGTAATTGAGTGTGTGGGACTACAAGAAAATAACGTAGGAACAAGGAGGAGCCAAATTGGTTGTCTTTTAAAAAAGTTGCCTTCCTCACATGCATTTTCTAACTACTTCTGGATTTAACTATGATTTTTTTTATCTTAAATAAATTAATAATTAAGCAGGAACAAAAAAATCCCCATTTCCTCGAAAATCCAAAAAATAAAAAATTAATGCTAGCTGCGTATTTTTGGTTGCAAGAAAGATTCGGGTCGAACCCGAGAACCCGGGCGGTGGCATGTCGGCAAATTATGACCAAATGAGCAGCAATAGATGTAAAGCAACCGAAACGACGTGGACATTTTACTGACTATTCCCTCTGTTCTGTCTCTCCCATCTCCCTTCCTTTCTTCAGTCTCAAATCTCCTGAGTTTACTCTTCAAAGTTCAAAGCAACAGGGAAAACGGAAATCAACAATGGCAATGATTTTATGGCTTCTTTTGTCTCCTTTTCTTTTCCTCTCTGTTTCTGCTAATACTCAAAGTAAGTCTCCCTCCTATCTTCTTTCTCTTATCCAGCGTTAGCTATTGTTTCCCTAGAAAAAAAAAAGGGTTTTGTTTCTTAGCTTTTTTTGTATGATAAAACGAAATGACTTTGTACAATGTATGTATGTTTTGGGTTTGGAAATGAATCGTTGGTTCTAGTACGTGATTGATCTGCTTCATAACTATAAAAATCTTTTTTCTTATCTATTTTTATTTCTGGGTTTCTTTCATATTTCCAAATGCAGCTGTGTGTTTGTAAGTTGGTTAACATATAATTGATCTGAATCTCAGGCATTGCAGTTTTAAACTTTAGCCCATTTTGATTTGACTTAAGTTTTGCTTAAAGCAGGTGGCATTTTTTTTTTTTTGCTGGATCTCTTGTTTAAAGCGGTGTCTTTTAATTGGTTGACTTATTTTGGCATTATTTCCCTTCTTAGTGCTCTATTTAGCTTGTATACAGGAGGGCAAGGGAAAGAAATTTTACTTTTGGATCTATCATTTCCATGTATTTTGATATGTCTCCATTTCCAGAAACCATATCAAGAAATTTTCCTTTGAATTTGCCACTTGAAGACAGTTTTTGATTGTCATCTTGTTTGAGAATCATATTGGGGGGTGGGGGTGGGGGTAGGAGAAGATTTTTTCATTTAGTTTGATATCCTTCCATCATTCTTAAAATAGATCTTCTTTAGGACTCTGGCAGGAAGAAAGTGATCATAAACTCGTAGGATTTTGCAATTCTATTGTTTCACACCAGAGAAAATACTGGTTGCTGTGGGTACATGTTTGTGTTTAAACGAGTCTGGTCTAGAATTGTCCATTATAGATGGTTAAATTGCCTAATACTATTCCACATAGGAGTTAGGGCATGTGTAAGCAGCTAAATCCGAATATATAGTGAATGAAGAACTTGTTATGTCAGTGTCATTTAAGAAGACAAAGTTGTAGCCATGATATAAACCCAGATGAAAATCTTTGATCATGAGATGCATCATGATTATGTGTGAAAAGGAATACACATCTCTTGTAGAAGAGAGGAATGAATTGCCCAAGTGAGCACAAGATGCGCTGAAACTAAGCAATGCACCAAGAAGAGAAAAGCTTCGTTTCCAAACTTTTGCCGTTTATCCACATCTATGAGGCATGATAAAATGTCTCCAACTTCATCATGGGAAGTTAACATGTTTGAAGCCCTTCATATTGCATTTGATTCCTCCCTTCTGAATATCCTAAAAGACAGCATGACTTTACACCTGATTGCCCCTGCTGTTCTAGTGACCCATCTCCAGCCGTCATCATACTGCAAAATTTTAGCTAACAAATCAGTGAGGATATAGAACTTAAAGACATCCTCAGCATACGGTCCAAGGGGTGCCGCATCCTTCTAATATCACTTTTTCCATGTATCATCCCATGAAGAGAGCATGCGATATTCTGACTGGTCTGAGTAGAACTCCTGGTTTTTTTTAAAAAAAAAAAACTTTTTGTAATTTGTTTGGTATTGATTCCTTCATGCTGGTATTGGTCGCATCGTGTAAGAGGATTTCTCCTCTGCTTCAAGCAATTGCTTTTGTCATGTTTATTGCTACATTTTATTTTTCTTATGGAACAAAAACTAATTATTATCAGTACCCATATATCCATAGTGTATAACTGGCTGAGTATATGAAATGGATTACTCAAAGGCATGTAAAGCATGTAGTTTGTCAACCTGTTACATTCTCTAGTCATCTTTTTAAGGTTCAAATTGTTTTGTGCATGTGTTTGTGGCTGTCATTTTTCTTGAGCCCTAACAACATTCATCTTTTCTTTATATTTGTGACATTTTGAACACAAACTGTAGCCAAAGTAACTGACAACCCTGCGGATGAGTTGGTGGCTGCGCTTAATGCCAATAGAACGGCACACAAGTCTTCATCTCTCACTGACAACCCGGGCCTTGCCTGCATTGCTTTGCAATATATAAAAGCATACCAAGGTGATTGTGATGCTGTAGGAGGGCCTGATGCCAAGAAGCCTGCTGATTCTGAATTTGCTGAAACTTTTGCCCCAGACTGTGGTGTTGGTGCCTCAAGCCTCTCTCCAATCACTGGCCGTTTACTTGGATGCCAGTCCAAATATGTCCAGCCTCCTGAAGCATTCTCAATGTTGATGAAAAATGAGAAGAGTTTGGAAATTCTCTACAATAAGAACCACACAGAAGTTGGGGCTGCTGTGACTGGCACAGATGGTGGGGCTCCCTATTTCTGGTGTGTGCTGTTCAGCAGTGGTAAGCAAAACAATAGCTTTGTTCTAGAAGGAGGTGTGGCTAAAATTACGAGACCTGGATGCTTTAGTGGCGCTAATGACGAATGCAGCGGTGCTGATGATTCATCTCGACCTGGTCATGTGTGGCTGTATGCTCTTACAGCTTTCATTGCTATGGGATATGCCTTCGGGTTATAATCATATCCCTTAGCATATGAACTGTTTTCCTCTTGATTGTTGATTCTGAGGCACCCCATTGCCTTGAATAGCTTGGCCTCTGTAGGTGTTTTTTTTTTTTTGTTATATCATCATAATTTTATTGATTACTTTTTCCACTTTGAGTGAGAACACACTTTATGCCATTGATTCCGCCGGTTTCATGTGTACAATTTCAAATGATTGAACCTATTCAATTATTATTATTGTTGTTATTTTGTTTCCTTTGAATGGTACTATGTTGTTTATCATGATTTGTGAAACTATCATACACGAAGATGTGAAGACTTCCAGCAGCTAAATTTCCCTTTGATCACCCACCTTCTAATAATTTCTTTGGATTAATATGCTTCTAATATCTGCAGTTCAATAATACTATGGTGCCTTAAAGGCACAAACTGGGTATGGTTAGTCCAAAATGGAATGACCAATGGTTTCCATTTTCCCCCTTTTTTGGGTCTACAAACCTCCTCTATACAGAATCAACACATGCCATGGCAAATGGTACTACTATTTCCAATGATTGTGTAATTTGTATTGTGTTTCTTTAACTAAAATTTCTTATAATCCAGCGTTTATCAAACCTTTATTACTTTCATCATACTTGGCACCCGTAGGTATAAGGTGGGACTGGATTAAAGAAACTTGGCATCGTCGGTTTGCTGGGCGCGGACTCATGGCCTGACCAATGCCATGCGAGCTAGAAAGCTAGTGCTTCGAATGTTGGTCCGAGTCGACCGTCTAAGGATTCGAGCCCTTGTCTCATGCAAGTTGAAAATTTTCTTTCTCATGATTGGTTAGTAGATAAAAGTTTAAAACCCAATAATTTCCTACTTCTGCTTTCTTTACCCAAATAAATAAAGCCTCTCAATGTCATAGTTGACATGGCATATGCCGTGTTTACATTAATTATCATATATGTTCGTATTATCAAATCAATCATATATCACATGAATTAAAAATATTAATCGATATTAATTTGATGACTGCATTAAAATTAAAAACCTGCATAGGTATAAGTTAAAAAAAAAATAACTATAATAAAATAATAATTTTGTTAGTATATAAAGTAAAATAATTTAGAATTTCTTTTAATATTTAAACTTTACACATAATTAAACCCTAACTAGCACATCATTCATTGTTTTTGTTTGGGTAAATAATTCAGGCAAAGATTAGTCTTTTCAGCTGGGCTCATTGGTAAGATTCAATTCTATCATATTTTCCTTTTAATTCTTCTTTTTAAATTAGATACGGCTCACATAATATTTATATTTAGGAATGATTAAAATTGAATCAGATTAATAACTCGATTTATTCATATGTAATTTGAGTAAAATTATTCAATTTGATTGGTCTATTTAATCTCTTGGATTCAATCGATTTATTTGATTATTGTTTATCTTAAAAAGAACTACATTTAATATTATATATATTTCTTATTTACTACTTATAAAGTTACTGGCAAAGTTAATTTTACTATTTTTGCTAGGTTGAATTTTGAATATTAAAACTTGGAGGTCAAAACTTTTAAATGTTAATTTGATGCTTTATAAACAAAAATAAAAGTTGTCTTTTAACTCTGGTAAATGTTATAATTTATGTGAATGAAAGGAAAAATGTTAAATTATTTATATTTTTTATAATTATAAATAATTTTTTTAAAATTAACCTATTTAATCTTTAATTATAACAAACTGAATCGAACCGATCCAATCCACCAATTCCTTGTCCCTACTTATATTTATTTACATAAGTTTGGTGGAATGAAATTGAAATGGTAAGTAGTTATGCTTTAGGCCTACTTTTCGGGCCCAAGGCCCGTGGGCCTTGTTTTAAACAAATTGAAAGCCAATGAGCTGCAGGCATCAGTGACAGCATGCTAATATTTAAGTATTCAGTCTAAATCTCTAATTAGGTTGCGCTAACTTCCACTATTATGATATTTGTATTTTGCTTTCATCTTCTGCACCTAAAACCTTAAATCTTATATATAATAAGATTAGATGTTCTAGGTTAAAGTAGATTTATTGAATTTAGTCATATATATATATTTATATGCATGATTTGGTACCATCAACTCATTGTGATTGATAGCAAAAGCAATATATAATCTCTGAAAAAAGGACAAAGCATGCCAAGTTTAATTTAGTGGTCAATCCTTTTCTCATGAAAAAGGTCAATATATAGGATTCCACATCCCTTCCCTTTTAATAGTCCCAAAAAAAAAAGTATTGAAATTAAAAAAAAAATCGATATAGTACTAATAGCATACTTTATCTTTTCCAAAGAATGTCACCGTACATCATTATGACTAATTTATAATTAATTAATTTTTTTAATAATTAATAAATTTAAAATTATTAAATTAATATGGCGTGTGACTCGTATTTTTTATTAGCTTTACAATATTTTTCAAAATTTTTGGAAAAATACAATGAATACCTCTTTACATTTCTCCAATTTCATAGAGTAGTACACATATTAAAACAAAAAAAGGGGGAGGGCATGGAAATTGGGATATAATAATTAGGGTTGTAAAACGAAAGAAAAAACAGTAGAGAAAGTAAAATTTCACTTTTGTCTTTTAAAGAGCAGTCCCAAGTGCTATGTGACTCGTAATGCCTATCCTATCGACTAGCTAAGTCTTTTTCAACACCTATTTATTTATTTTTATTAAAGTGCCCACTCTATATCCTTTAATTGATATCTTCTTTTTGTATGGGTTTTCCCATATCTCATCTTCATGAACAAAATTTTGTCTCATTTTTCTTCCAACTTTTGCCCATTAAAAAATGAGTAATGAATGGGGAAGGGGGTCTTTCCACGAAGCAACGAGGCATCCCCACCTCAAGAAACAAATGCGAAATTTGACTCTCCTGCCAAGCCTGTTTCTGCACACAATTTGAACCAATTTCCCTCCTCGATCGTATGACCAAAGCCCACGAAAACAACGCCCACCGTCCGATCCAAACATCAAATCCACGTGGTACTGCTCATCACAAAGACAGTGTTTATGTGTAATGTAATTATTTATGGTCTCATAAGAACAAACTTTATAAAAACCAATGGGTCTTAAGGTTTAGCAGAGATTAAGCTCCCAAGGCACGGAGCCCGAAAATTTCAGTTAAAATTTTCGCGGGCGCTATATAAAGTGCTTGGTTTTTCGTTACTGGGTGTTTTTGTTTTGGTTGTTTTGCGTTAGTTTTTTTTTTTTGAAAAGATCGAGAATCGAAGAAGAACGAGATATCCGGGGATGGGTGATGTAGGGTTTTTCGAGAAAACTGATTCTCGGGAAAATGAAGGTATTTTGGGAGGAAGCGAAGAGAGCAGCAAGAAAGAAAACGAAGAAGAAACTGCCGTTTTTAGTAGGCAGCAGGAGGCAACATTCAATCTCGATCTTAATCTGCGGCCAGTGGAAGAGGATTTGGGAAACAGTTTTTTGGGTTTTGATTTAGGATTTCCTGAGAAACATGCGGAGAATTCCACCAACTCAAAAAGTCTTGTCTTTGGTGTTGATTTGAGGAGAATGGAAAGATACGCAGATGTTGAAATTGTTGGTTCTCCAAGCAAAAGACGAGATTTTCTGTTGAAGAAAAAGGAAAAGCAAAATTAGATGGTTTTGATGAAGAGGAAGAAAAACTAATCTTGATCTTGATTTGGGATTGACGCAGATAGGGACAGATAAAGCGATTTCATTTTTCGGTCCACCAATCGAAGCAGAGGAGCAAAAAGATACTGAAGTTGAATTTTTGGGAAGTACTAATACTATGAAAACTATTGATCTTGTTGTTGGGGAAATTGATTATAAGAGGAATGATGAAACCGAGGATTTTTACGTCTCAAGAAAGAGGGAAGATTCAAGAAGACACCATGAGATTGCTAGAAAATTTGCCCAAAGGCTTGCACATGAAGTTGATTCTGAAGGAGATTTTTTGAAATCTTTATCTAAGACAAATAAGGATGGAGCTTCAAAGAATGTTGTTGTTGTTGTTGATGAGGATGATAAGGCAGAAGACTTAGAAAGTCCTTTTGTTATGGCATTAGAGATGATCAAAACCCGAAATTCGAGTTTAACTGACAAAAAGAAGTACTCAAGGGGTGGATTGGAGGCGGAGTTCAAATGGGTGCCTAAGAATTATAAAGGGTCGTCCTTTTCTATGGCTCGTGAGGTTCCTTCATTGCTGGACCTTAGTTTGCGTACTCTTGCAAAGAATGCCGAGGCAATGGTATCGCTCGAGCATGTTCCTGATGTGCTGAGGCATAAGCTTAGTCAGTTGGTGTGTGATTATCGGAAAATGGATGCTCATTTTCTGGAACTTCTTGTTAGGGGATCACCAACAGAGATACGAGTGAATGACTGTTCACGAGTAACTGAAGACGAATTCACCAAGTTGTTTGGCTGTTGTGATACTAAGAACTTGATTGTAAGTGACGTTTGACACAGGTTATTCTATCTTCCCTTTTTAATTGAATTGGCAGAATTTTTTCTTTTCTCTCTCCATGTTTTACAATGCAACCTTAGCATATCACCGATGGACTTGAGGGATTATTTGGTTCTATCTCTGAAGTTGTATTAGTGACTCTGTGAGCTATTTTCTTCTCGAAAATTTGCCTCAGTTATAATTTGTGAAAGTTTTAAAAGAAGGGGAAAACAATTGTAATTGAAGGATTAGTACTTGGCTTTTGGCTTTCAATATATATGACCAAGAAACCAAACTAGGACGTTTAGGGTACTCCCAGAATTGGTTTTTCTAATATGTTTGTGGACTATATACTTATTTAGACGTGGGCACCTGGCTGTCAGTTATTTATGATGTTTTTGGGCTCTGGAGGCAGGTGCTGCAGCTTGACTTGTGCGGATCGTGTTTGCCTGATTATGTGTTACAAGGCACCTTAGCTCATTCATCAAATAGCCTTCCTGCTTTAGTTACCTTGTCTCTGGATGGTGCATATCGTTTGTCAGACAAAGGCCTAAATCTACTTGCGCTGTCTGCACCTGCTCTGCAGTCAATAAATCTGAGCCAGTGTTCCCTTCTCACGTCTGCTGGCATCAACAATCTAGCTAGCTGTTTTGAATCTACCTTAAGAGAGCTATATTTAGATGAATGTCAGAATTTAGAAGCTATGGTTGTATTGCCTGCACTGAAAAAGCTTAAATGTCTGGAAGTGCTGTCATTGGCTGGAATTCAGACTGTTTGTGATGATTTTGTCGTTGGAATGGTTGAAGCATGTGGCAAAAATATGAAGGAGCTTGTTTTCGCTAATTGTGTGTGAGTTCTCTGAGATCATTCTAATTGATTTAAAAGTATACATTGGAGGTTTAACATTTTTTATATCTGTTTCTCTAATCTAGCATCAGTTTTGGTAACATAGGTGTTTTTGGGTTGCAGGGAATTGACTGATATATCTCTCAAATTTGTGGGAAAAAATTGTTCCAGATTATGTGCCCTTGACCTCTCTTACTTGCGTAACTTGACAGATTTATCAATGAGATATCTTGCCAATGGCTGTCGATCAATTAACAGACTTAAACTGTGCCGCAATGGTTTTAGGTTTCCCTTCATCCTATGCTTATCTGCTGTTCATTTCTTAGCTTCTGTAGATAATGATATACTCATCATGATACTGTCACATGTTTAATTATTCTATGTTTGTCAATTATACAGTAGACACTCCTGTGTAATATACATTCTTTTGACTTTTAGGGAAGCAGTACCTGCAACTGACACAAATTATTTCTATATATATGACAGTGATGAAGCTATTGCAGCCTTCTTAGAAGCCTCTGGAGGTTCTTTAACTGAACTGTCCCTGAATAACATTATTTTGGTGAGATATCAAGTTATCAACATGCCTTACCTCATTAAGCTTTTGCTTTTTGTTTTTGTCCTCACCAAAGATACCAATTATCCTGCAATGATTGTTGAATGATTCCCAAATCTGCTGTCTGACTCACTTTTTTGTGCTTGAAAGCCGAATGATTTCATTCTATGACATTGACGTTGCATGTACTGGCTACTTCAGCTTCTTACATTCCATATTGCAAGCATGTAGTAATTGGTAAACTAACTCAAGGTGGTGAACAATTATAACAGGTGGGGCTGAACACTGCATGTTCACTTTCCAAATGTTCAAGAAAATTGTTCAGTTTGGACTTATCATGGTGCCGCAATTTAACAGATGAGGCACTGGGACTGATTGTTGATAGTTGCCTGTCGCTGAGGCTGTTAAAACTCTTTGGATGTACACAGGTACACTTGCCAAGCTCTCTGTCTCTCTCTAATTAAAACGCATCCTGTCCATGCATAATTGCTGCTTCAGGTGATGATTTATATAAAACCCAATAGTTATCCCTGTCAATATATGTACATGCAATTTTCAAAATAGAAATGCTTGTTTCTCCTCATGTTCCACTGACCTAAACAGCAACAAAGAGTAAATGCAAATTTAAATAGGTGGAAAAGCATCTTGCAGTTGATGCCAGCTGTTGTGTTTCTGATCCGGGACCTTTTTGTGTTTGATGCAGATTACAGAAGTATTTTTAGGTGGGCATTCAAATGCCCAAGTGCAGATCATTGGACTGAAAATGACAACAGTATCAAAACATCTCAGTATGCTTGAACCCCAAGAAGCTCCATTGCACTATTCACCTATCAGTAGTTTATGATGATTAGTACAGCTTGAATAACCTGGTTACCCAGTTTGCAAGGCCCAGCTTCATTCATTGACTTATACAATAGCAACACTGACAACTAAAAGTACCCTCTTTTACTTTGTCCATTCAGAGCCTTCAGTTTTGAAAACATACCTACGAAATTGTTACCAGACACCAAACCAACTAATCTCTTTAGAGATATACCTCACTCCTTTTTTTGGTGTCCTAGCAAATTCGTGATCAACCAAAAACTGTATATGGTCGATGGAATATTTTGGATAGTTTATATGATCATATTAAAGAGAGAGAATTCTTCTCCCTTATTGAGAGTGTTTCAGTTGATTCTATATGCTTGTCTTCTGTTTTTCATATTTATCAGATCAGGGTTAAGTTTGTTATCTCAGTTACGGAACATATGATTGAGGTTTGAAAATGTTTTAAACTCACAAATCCAAGGTGAGATGGTAGGCCTACTTGGTATGGTTTGCCCTGCTCCATGAAAGTATCTAGAGTATGCATCTTACATATTGTGACTAGGAAACATTGTCGAACTACATTCACACCTTGAGAGTAAATTGTGGCAAGAGGTTAAACAAGACAGTGTCAGGCGTTGTATTCCAATTTAGAAAACAAATCCGATTTGGAACTCTGTGGAAGTTAAATGCTGGTTTTCTTCCATAAGGCCTTTGGCATCGGTTCAGCATGGTTAAAACATGGGTTCTAACCATATTTTCTTTTGGTCATACATCCATTCAATGTTATCAGCTATAGAGGTTACGTTTATAGTGCAGTGTGCAGTGCCCTGTTTTTCTCTTGGCCAACCCAACAGCTAGAATTTAAATCTAACAAGGATTACGGATGTTTAGGAAGAGAAGAATACACTACAGAGAAAACACCAGTTTGACAATTAACCTTATATTCTTGCTTCTTACAAGGAGATAGTTTGATATTGGAAACTAGGAAACAGAGGATCTTCATCTCCACGACAAGGCAAAAACAGACGTTTCATTACTTATGTCTGTGTATAAAGCGCTTTCTGTTTCCACAAGGTTCAACTTCAACCAAGCTTCTCAGTTCAGACCAGAAGCCTTACACTTCAAAACAAATGCCAGAACCAGAAGAATTAGTAAGATTCCAGCAGAAGAACCACCAACTCTGTGAATCCAGTTAGGATCAAACCTCGTAAAGCTTCTGTCACAGTAAAGCGACAAAGCAATGGCCAAGATTAATATCAATAGCAGCAAAGGCAGCCAAGAAGCAAAGTTGATGGGCTGCTCGTCAGGTTCTAGCTCGCTCACCGTTGCCCTGTTGATGTAAAGAGGTGAAACCACACCTAAGATGACCAAACCTATTGCCACCAGCCTCTCATATGACGAAGAGTTGCTTGACCTGATCCAATGAGGATCAGACCTGGTAAATCTCTGGTTCAAGTAAAGTAAGAAAGCAAAAGCCAAGATCAGTAGCACAAGCAGCAGGCGCAACCATGAAGCCAAGTCCATGTATTGCTCTTCAAACTCCGCTTCACTAACCGACTGCCGGTTGACATAAAGAGGTGAAACCGCGGCTAGAATGGTCAAGACGATCGCTACCCATTTCTCATATGAGCAAGACCTGCTTGACCTGCGCATGGCAATCGGCTCCATTCATAACACAAATTTCAGGAGAAACAGCCCTTTTCTGTCATTGAGCAAATTGTTTCTTAATATTATCTCCCTATTTTTCATTTGGCCTCTGGATCCATCCATTTGGAATATAGTTAATGGTCAACAAACATTCCAATCCAACGGCCATGGGAAAGGCCCAAAGCGTTCAAGTATAAAGAGCAACCTCTATAAACCCTTATCCCTTGGGAATCCTTCCAGAAGTTCTCAAGATACGTGGAAATTTTGCAAGAGGTAAGGCAGCCATATTAAATTGTTTTGGAATCAGATTCTTGGAGCAGAATTAATCTGCAAAATTCCTCTTTTATCATCGCATTTGATTCCGATCCGATTATTCCTAAAGTTTGATTAAACAAGGGAAAATGATGCCATTTGTGATCAACCATAAATAAACCAGTCAAGGGAAACAGATAGTAGCAGACAGTAAAGCTTTTGGCTAGAGTTCTTACATTTGAAATTAGAAGTTGTTTTTTGCTAATCATCCCCTAAAAGAATTATTTTAGCGGTTAAAATTGGATACCTTCATAGCACAAGAATTTCCAGTGATCAACCGGTACAAAGTAAACACAAAAATGACTAATAAAACAAAAAGGTGTTTAACTGGCGCCATTGGAGCTCTTGGACCGGCTGCCATTGAGCCGTCTCATCCACTTCTTCTGCGATGAGGTTAAATCAGTGAACAAAGAAGGAGATGAAGCGCTTTTCGGAGGTTGTCCAGCCATCGGAAGCTCCGCCGGAAGTGCGGCGGCGGTACTAGTAAATGCGTTTAGAACCAGAAATGCAAGTATTGGAGAGAGATCCAATGTTCCTCCCAGCGGTGGAATTATCCCGCGGAAAATGTTGAGGTACGGATCACATATAGTACTGAACCAAAGAAAAAACATAGTTTATATTAAAAGAAATTAAAGTATTTTAGTTTATTGAAATTCCATGGAATTGGTATCCTTACCTGAGGGGGCTAACAATGGCTGGAGGAGAATTGGGGAACCAAGTCAAAACCAGCCTTACAATTAACAGCGTGTTGTAAATGTTTAAGAAATTAAGGATTCCATTGGCTACGACGATCCCTGCCACTGAATCACCAGGTAAAACCGCTGCAAAATTGTGATTTGTCAGCGGAGAATAATTCTTAACCTTCCTGGAATTGATTCTGAAAGTCGTTACCTATGGTAAAAATTGGAATTAGTACCCAAAAAGAAAACCTTGAATGGGAATGAAAGAGAGATAGCTAATGAAATAAGTTACCTCATTGCAGAAGCTTTGGAAGTCGGAGGATAAGGAGAGTAGATTTTTGAAAGCTGGATTTTGTTTAAGGAAATTGAAGAAACTATCGGCGGTTGAAACGACTGAATCGTGAAGGTCACGAATTATATTTTGAGGAACCACGGGAGCGAGATTGGGCTTCGTTGGCCTCAAAAATGGAGGCGCAAATGGCTTCTGAAAAAATGCTGAAGAAAGCAACAAAGATTTGGGAACTGAGGTTGGGGATTTAGATTTTAGGCTCTCTTGGGCAGGCTCGGTAACGGCCATTTCTTTGCAAGAAGAAGAAGAAGAAGAAGAAGAAGATAACATTTTTTCTTTTTCAGTGGATTAGGATTTTAAAAGAGAGACTTTTATGTATACAACGTGGCACGATCTTGTTTGCTACTTCACTGTGGTTCTTTTCACTGCAATAAAACGCAGCGTTTTGGATTGCAAATAGATTGACGATTTTTTAATTAAGTACTGACTTGCCAGGCTGGCTCTTCTGCTGTTTTTGACCACAAAGTAGGTGTGACTTCAATTTAACGATAGCAACAAAAAAACGTGCGGATATAATAGCGAGCTTACGTGGCGAAGGGTGATTGGATAATGTTTTCAATAATTCAACTACCTCCTCTTCCTTCATCCACGATCGTCTTCTGAAACTCTCTCTTCTCTATATTTCGTTTTTTTCTTTATCCTTCTGCGAAAACACAATGGCAATGGCGGCTGATCTGTTAAGACTCTCTTTATCGACTCAGCCCAAGCTCTCCTTCAGTTATGGCTCGAAAGTTAAGATTGACCGCTTTGACTTGCTCCAACGGCGCCGTCGCAGTAGTTTCTATTCCCTGCCTCGCTCAACTCCTGGTTTCATCTTATTCAACTCACTGGAAACTAGATCGCAGTCGCAAGAATCGTCTCTCCAAACGCCAAAACAAAAGCCTAAAGACTCTTCGGTTCTCCTCGATGTCAATGGGATGATGTGCGGCGGATGCGTATCCCGAGTTAAATCCGTTATCTCCTCCGACGAGCGAGTGGAATCAGTCGTGGTCAACTTATTGACAGAAACGGCGGCGATCAAGTTGAAGCAAGAGGTGATAGAGAGCGAGACCGTGGAGAGTGTTGCGGAGAGTATAGCTCAACGCGTGAGCAAGTGCGGGTTCATGGCGAAGAGGAGGGTTTCGGGGCTTGGAATCGGAGAGAATGTGAGAAAATGGAAGGAAATGTTGAAGAAGAAAGAGGAATTGCTGGTGAAGAGTAGGAATCGAGTGGCTTTTGCTTGGACTTTGGTGGCGCTTTGTTGTGGATCTCACGCTTCACATATTTTGCACTCGCTTGGGATTCATATCGCCCATGGTAATATACTTCAATGAAGGAATAATTCTTATTCAAATTAAGATCTGTGATAATGACTCTTTGAATTGGTACTTTGATTTAAATTAATTACTATGTTTGATGCAGGACCATTTTTGGAGGTCCTTCATAATTCTTATGTTAAAGGTGGATTGGCTTTAGCGGCTTTGCTGGGGCCAGGAAGAGGTTGGTTTTTTCCTCCCTTATTTGCACATATATTAACATTTAGGTGGTATTTAAGAAGTTGCTTTATAGACAACAATTTTAAATGCATTTTAAGATATTTATCTTAAGGCACTAGCTAGCAAAAATCTTTTAGTGTCTTAATACCCTAGTGAGTAAAGGTTGACTTCAATCAAATTTCTTGAAACTTGTGTTGCAGATCTGCTAGTTGATGGACTAATGGCGTTCAAGAAAGGATCACCTAATATGAATTCTCTCGTGGGATTTGGATCAATTGCGGCATTTATCATTAGTGCAGTGAGATTCTTCTTCTTTCTTTCCTTGTGGTTTGAAAGCTGATATTCAGTTTTCTGAGTGTAGCCTTGTGGAATCAATTTGCTTGTTTCAGTTGTTCTTATATTTGCCTATTTTCTTGTAGGTGTCACTTCTTAATCCTGAGTTTGCATGGGACGCATCCTTCTTTGATGAACCGGTGATTTCCCTTACTTTTACTTCTTTGCAATATTTGTTATCAATATTCTTTTTGCGCCTTTTGACATTATGCTCTACTCCTTAACTTTTAAGCTAAGCCTAGGACCCTTTTATCGTTGTTGAGTTACAGCTGCCGAATGCATCGTGATATGACCCCCTTGGTTACATCTAGTGATCGCTATTTCTATATATGCAGAAACAACTTAGATGAATGTCTGATAGTTTGGTTGATAACAGTTTCTCATGAAGTTTCCTGATTTTTTAGTATGCAGGTCATGCTTCTTGGTTTTGTGCTGCTGGGACGTTCTCTGGAGGAAAAAGCTAGGATTCAAGCATCTAGTGACATGAATGAACTTTTAGTGAGTTAGAATTGATACTTGCTTTTGGTGCTATTACGCTTGTTTTCTTGTTTCGTGGCCAATGGCCAATGACTCTGCTTTTCGGCTTTATGGATACACAGATTTTACTTGCAAAACATTCTTCTAACATATTCACCCTAAATTTTGAACTTCTTGCTCTTTGTGTGGTTTCACATGTGAGTTCATTGTTTTGCAGTCATTGATTTCCACTCAGTCAAGACTAGTGATTACTTCAAACGATGATTCATCTGCTGATTCTGTGCTTTGCTCTGATGCTATTTGCATTGAGGTTCCATCAGATGATATTCGAATTGGAGACTCAGTGTTAGTTTTGCCTGGAGAAACTATTCCTACAGATGTAAGTCTTGAATATGTTATAACATCAGGTTTGAGTGGATCATACACTGAATTTCATAAACTTGGTACATATACATTTGTACTTTCATTTGAAGCCAACACATCTTGCTAATGATATAAAACTAAGATGAACCTTTTATAATAACTGTATGATTGAATTTACTTCACACAAATTGACATCTGCTATAATTAAAATTCCCTACACAGGGGAAAGTCCTTGCAGGAAGAAGTGTGGTTGATGAATCCATGCTGACTGGAGAATCACTTCCGGTATTCAAGGAGAAAGGTCTCAGGGTCTCTGCTGGAACAATAAACTGGGTAAGATTGTTACTTTGGGGAATAGAACTTTGAAATGCTATGACTTATGCCATTGGCTTTTACTTTAGGGGTGAGAAATGCTTGACCGTTGCTTATTTCAGGGATATAGTTATAACCTTTTATATTAAAGTGCTTACTAGCTGGACTGCTTGAGATAATTAGACCTGAGTGGGAGAGCTAGACAAAGATTGAAAGTTGGGACTAAACTTGGATTCTTTCTGAATTATTTTTGAAGAAGTTTCCATTAAATTCACTTACCCATGCATTCATCATTCATTTTTATGGATGTTTATATATTTCAGGATGGTCCTCTAAGGATTGAAGCAACTTCCACAGGCTCCAACTCAACTATTTCTAAGATTGTACGAATGGTTAGTGCCCTAGTGAACCTTTTTATTGGATTAATCAGACAGTCATGTTCTGACATCTGATGTTTGATGAGTCACTATACTTTGCCTCTTACTGCACTGGGTATAATTGTCCCATGTTTATTTAATTACAAATGACAAACCATTGCATCCTTTTGGCCTGAGTAAGCTTCCAATATTTTTTCAGGTTGAGGATGCTCAAGGACAAGAAGCTCCAGTGCAAAGGCTTGCAGATGCGATAGCTGGGCCATTTGTATACAGCATAATGACTCTGTCGGCAGCAACCTTTGCCTTTTGGTATGGGGTTTGTTCTTCAGATGTATTAACTTTGGATAGACTGATGAAAGTTGGGGTGCTTAAAATTGATGGAAAAAACAAGATTTTAATTTATTTATTAAAGATATGTATGTAACTCTTAGATGCTTTCACAAAACTGAATGGGTAATTGTTATTCGATTTGCAAAGTTCAAATAGTTGAAATCTTACTTTGAGAAGATGATGGCAATTTTAGCTGCACTTCACCTCTAGTTGTTCTCTCCCCATCGTTCCATCTAAGATCTCCGCATACTTCTACTTTTGTATATGCCTGTAACAATTAGGGCATCAATTTAAGCAAGGGCTGGACAATTTTAAATTTCTTCCATTTTAGAAGTTGTGCATTTAGTTTACACATTGCCTTAACTTCCCATGCTAGTAGAGGTCCCTGTGGGCTTTTGTTTTAGTTGCTTATAGATATGTTATCGACTCTCTCCCAGCATCCCACTGATTCTCTACTAGCTTAACTCTTGCTTCTTGTCTCCTTGTTGCTTTGATATCCAGGTATTATGCCGGGACACACATATTTCCAGATGTTTTGCTCAATGACATTGCTGGGCCGGATGGAGATCCTTTACTTATGAGTTTGAAACTTGCTGTGGATGTACTAGTGAGTAATCTTATGTTTACATGCATTTCTTCACCAGCTTATTGCCTAAATATTGATTGCCTGATTGTTTGCATAGTTTTCGTTTTTGTCTATTTGGTTGCCAAGAAAGTTGTCAATCATAAGATTAATCTCAATATCATTAAAGAAACTTCTTTTTTCTTTTTGAAAAGAAGGAAACAAGTTAAAAAGTTATGCCTTTCTGCATTTTCCTGTTAAAAGTTGCAAAACACATTTGAGGGAGATTTTCTGGTAAGAATGGTAATGGCCAAAATTTAGAAAAAGATGCAATATGATTAAAGATTCAAATAAAAAAAAAATTTACAAGACTACTTTGATGTTCTTTTTTTGACCAGGTTGTACCTGGAGATTATTGCTTACATAGTTGCCCTCATTTTCTTCGAGAATTGGGGCTTAAAGTGATGTGCTTTATTTGCACTTTCTCTAAATAATCGAGCAAATATATATATTTGCACAGTCACTTTGTAATGCTAGTTATCTTTTTTCAGGTAGTTTCCTGTCCATGTGCACTGGGTCTCGCCACCCCAACAGCAATCCTTGTTGGCACCTCTCTTGGTAATTTATTTAGCTTGTTAATAAATCTTGATTTTGATACCTTTTCTGTTTAGTATTGATATAGTGAATGTGTAATATACTTATATTTACCAGTTAGAAGATAGTATGACCAAGTCCTAACTAACTATAGGTAAGTAAATATGTGGAGAGTTTTGGTTGTCTCATACTCTAATAACTATTGAGAACATCGGGAAGAATTCAATGGGAAAACTTCGATTTTGAGGAATTCCCAAATCCGCACTTTGGAAATATTGTTTATTTTAGAACATTTGCCCATTATGACATTGAGACCACTATAAGTTCACTGGTATGAGGTGTGCACATTGGATAGTCTTATATTTGAGGAATAGGATACGGGCCACTCAACTTTATTATTGATTATTTACATTTTATAATCAACAATTAAACTGCCTGTTATACTGAATTTTATATTGCTGCAATGATAATCATCAGGAGCAAGGCAAGGACTGCTTAT